TCAGCACAGACACAGCCTCTTGGCTTTCGCCCCCTTACTGCCCTGCCGCAGGGGACCCCGAGCTGGTTTGGACTCAAAGTACTGGAGCAGCATCCTGGGTGTCACCCACCTCCTGCTCTGAAACAGGGACTCCCCCGGAGCTCCGTGGGGCCCAGATCTCAGACATAACGGCCTGGGGCTTGCCCACCTCCCGCCCCAAGGCAGGGAGCCCTCCAGAGCCCCATGGCACAGCCCCCCCAGAGCCCAACGGGATCGGAGCCACGGACGCAAGGCACTGGACATCGCCCACGCACTGCCCCCTGCTGGCTGCTTTCTACCAGGTACGCACTGCACTCTGGGGGGCCCCTTCCCTGCCCCATACGCTACCGAGGCCCCGGCAGGAGGCCGGCAGCATCCACACCGGGTCAGATTCCCCCTAGGGGAGCCAAGCTGGTGGGCCATAGGGCCTGCTTGCAGCCAGTGGGCTCTGCCCGGGGCACTGGGGCCTGGCGGGACGGTTCCGATTGGAATGCCATGCCGGAGAGATCTGGGCTGGCGCCTCGGACTCCTCCAGCAGCAGCAGCTTGGAAACCAGGAGCCTCCCTTTAATGTGCCTCTCTCTGCACCCTGGGGTCCCCTGGGCCACTCTGCCCAAGCAACGCTGGCAGGGTGGCCAGGCAGAAAGCACCCCCCCCTTGGTGTTCAGTGCCAGGGCTGAGCCACCCGTGCCGCTGGGCATGGAGCCCCAAGGGTCTGCCGTGACAGCCAGGTGCTATCAGGGCACCTGGAGCTGTGCCCTGCCCGAGGTGAGGCGGGTTCTGCGCTGGGAGCCCAGGGAAGGATGTGGGCGATCCCTCGGCAATGTGGGGGCACCAGGATCCTCCCATGCTGCAGAGCAGGAGGCCTGGCCAGTGCCCCGCGTGTGCCCCGCACACCACTCCGAGGGGCTGTGCAACGGGGCCCCTGGGCCTGGGGCGACGCGGAGCCGAGCGGGGAGGGGGAAATGCTCCCTCAGAATGCAGCTGAGGCGCACAGGATCTGTCCCTGCGGTGCCCTGGGCAAGGGGGTGCCTGAGAACTGGGGCCGGTGGAGTCTGGCGGGGCCTGCAGTGCGCCTCACCCCGGCCAGCCCGCCTGGCACCTTGTCAAACACGGCTTTTCTTTTGGCACAAGGCAGGGCCCATGTCTCCAGCCCTGGACTGGGCCATTGACCCCAGCCCCCAGCCAGCCCGCGGCCACCACAGGGGAGTCCCGGCAGAGCCGGCCCAGCAGCAGGAATCGGGGGCAGCTGGCACGGAAGAGGTGATGAAAAGCAGGACGTCGGCCGCGTTTGGGTGCAGAGATACGGGGCTCTTCACGGACTAGCGCTCAGTGCAGCAGCTCTGCTCTCGGCCGGTCCCTGCCGGGGCCCCGCTCCTCACACTGGCTGTGCCTGGCAGGGAAACGCCTTTCTGATTAAACCCTTTACATCCTGCCTTTGTTCGTGCTGGTTTGTTATTGTAGGGTCACTCTGCCGGGTTTGTTGCTCACTGAGTGGGCTGGTGGGCCCGGCTCTGGGAGCGGGCGGGTGCTGGGTGGGTTTCTCTGGAAGCAGGTAGGTGCTGTGGGGGGGAAACAGCTCTAGGAGCAGGCGGGTACTGGGGAGCAGGGGTGGCTCTGGGCATGGGCGGAGTGGCTCAGGTGGGAGCGAGTGGGCACTGGGTGGAACCAGCTCTGGGAGCGGACAGGTGCTGGGGGACAGGGGATGGCTCTGAGAGCAGGCGGGTGCTGTGCGGGGCGGCTCTGGGAGCGAGTGGGTGCTGTGCGGGGCGGCTCTGGGAGCGAGTGGGTGCTGTGTGGGGCGGCTCTGGGAGCAGGGGGCTGGGGAGGCAGGTTTGGGAGCAGGTGGGTGCTAGGCAGGCCTGGCTCTGGGAGCGGGTGGGCGCTAGCGGCGGGGTGGCTCTCGGAGCGGGTGGGGACTGGGGGCCCAGCTCTGGGAGCAGGCAGGTGCTGCGGGAGGCAGGGCCCGGCTCTGGGAGCGGGCAAGGTGGGGCGTCTCTGGGAGCAGGCGGACACAGTTTCTGAAGGCAGGGTGGGTGGACGGTGATGGGCACGGAGCCGCATGACCAGGGTCCCCGCTCCTCCCATGCTCTGATCTGGCTCACGCTCGCGTTACATTTCTCCAGCAGTCCCAGATTTCATTAGCCCCCTGCCAGGACGGGGAGCTCCCCCACTGGCGCTGTCAGCTCCCTACCCGGCTGTGCGGGCAGGGCTGGGCTGCCTGCATGGGAATTACCCAGTCCCTTCATATGCTGTCTGGGAGCAGGGCCTGGGTCTGTGTAGGGCTGGGGGGGGGGGCCCCGGGCGGGGGCGGGGCGGGGCCGGGGGCGGGGGGGGGCGGGGGGCGGGGGGACCCAGCGCGGTGCTGGGCAGGGCCTGGTGCTGTG